GAGGGAGAAGCAGGCTCCCTGCTGAGCCAGGAGCCCGATGTGGGACTCGATCCCGGGACTCCAGGATCATGACCTGATCCGAAGGCAGTCGCTTAACCAACTGAGCCACCCAGGCACCCGATATAGCACTGACGTTCATTTAACTGTGACCTAGTTTGAGATAAGTTAAATGGTCACCCGAGCCCATGATTGTCAAATGATTGCCAACCACAATGAGGGCTTCACGCTTCTCTGTTGTCCAGCTGCCTAGAGAAAAACTCCTTCCACAGAAGCACCCAGCAAGCATTTTCTGTAATCCAATGTCCAAGAAGGGCTATGTGCCCATCCATGAAACGAATCACCATGGTTAGAATGATGGGATACCTTAGTTGGCTTAGTTTAACAGAGCCCATCCTGAGAGCAGGGGCAGAGTCAATCCTTGGGTCCTTGTTTGGTGGGGCCAAGAGGGATTGAATGTGGGGAGGAAATCAATAAATGTCACTACACCCCTCCTTGCCATGTCCCTGCCACTGTCCTGGTTTAGCACCCAACATTTCTTATTTAGACTATTGAAATAACTTTCTTGCTGATTCCCTCCTTTAGTTTTGGCCCAACAGTCCCACATTACTAGCAGAATGATCTTCTTAGCATGTAGATCTGATCATGTCACTATCACATTCAACATTTTTTTGATGCCTTGGCTTTACCTATAAGATCAATTCCAAATGCCTTTTCTTATTAAGTAAAGCTGTTTAATATCCAGCCCTTTTCTGGTTATCTGTCCACTCTCATCTATCTATGTTCTCTTCTCTATACTTTAAGCTTTAGCAAAGCTGAATTACTTGAAGTACTGTTCATATGCCATGCTTTCTCATACCTTGTTCCCCCAAGCCTGCCTCAATCTTATCAACCCAGCCAATCTGTATTCATCCTTCCACAGTTAGCTTGAATGCTATCTTCTCTAACTCCTTTCCTTTCTTTTCAGGCCCATCCTTCTTTATGCCCACTGAACTTTCCACACAGGAGAGTCCTATTTTCTGATCAGACCAGGATAGTGGTTGATGGGTTAACTGAAAAACTACTTAAATCGGGGATTATAACAATAATGATATATACTTTAAACATTATATTTTTAAGATTTTATTTATTTATTTGAGAGAGAGAAAGAGTGGGGATGGGCAAAGGGGAAGGGAGAAAGAATCTGAAGCAGACTCTGCACTGAATGCGAGCCCAATGCAGGGCTTAATCCTACGACTGAGATCATGACCTGAGCTGAAACCGAGTCAGACGCTTAACCAACTGAGCCACCCAGGTGCCCCTAAACATTATTTTTTTAAACATCACTTACAAATCACTGTTTCTTAGTAAGGAGTGTTGTTTTGTTTTATTATTTATTTATTATTATTACTTTTTTAAAGCAAGCTGTATACCCAGTGCAAGGCTTGAACTCACAAGCCTGAGATCAAGAGTCACATACTCTACCAATTGAGCCAGCCAAGCACCCATTACTATGGAGCTCTTTTAGACATTTTCTGGTAACACCCTTCCTCCCATTCCCTATGAAGTTTTAATACCACAACAGACACACTCTATATCTATTCATGTACTCTATGTATGTCTATAGGGTCAAGGCCTTGTATTTGGATGTGGGTCCTCTGCCTCAGATTTCTTCCACATTGATAATCTATCCTATATGATTCCTAATTTGGGTTTGTTTAAAATGAAGGGGAACAAAACATTTTAAAAACAAACTGAATGTAGAATCACACTCAATTGTTATGATTTTATTCCCATGCCTACCATTTGACAACTTCTTAAACTATATGTGTATGTGTGTATAAAACTTGCTTTTATCAAGTCTTTCCAAAGCATTTAATTTAGTTTTCATAAAAATAACTTGTTCTCTCCCCACAATTACACTTTATCACTATATAATGTCTAATCACATTTTATTATTTCAAAAACAAGACAACCACTTGGGGATCCAACACAACTGTTGGCAGGGGGCAGCAATAAGAAAATATATAGGAAACAAATAGGTGAAAGAAGTAATATATAGAAAATAATAACAAATGCTTTCAGAGAACTTACAAGGTATCCACCACTGTTTTAAGAGCTTTACAAAAAAAAAAAAAAAAGAGCTTTACAAAAATCAACTCATTTAATCCTCACAACTAAGGTTCCATTATTATCCCCCATTTTCCCGATTAGGAGACTGAGGTACACAAAGGTCAATTTTTTTTTTTTTTTACCAAAAGTCTTTTTAAACAACAAATGTTTAAAACATCTTTTACTGAGATGTTTCTAAGATATTACCAACATCTGCCTTTCTTTCATAAAGTCTATTGAGCCTAATGTGACCTGTCTCTAAAATGGTATAACTAATAAAAATAGGCTAATGAAAATTTAATGTGGCTTCCCTTTTGGTTTCACAAAAGCATTCCTCTTCATTCTCAGGGAGACCAGAGAAGTGAGTTTAGCTAAATCAGGATGAGATCTGTGTGAGGAGAGAGAAGACTTAATTGCTCTTGTTTCCATCCTTTCTTAGGAGGGGAGGGTGACCTTAGCAAAGAACCAAAAGCTCTGAACTGATAGTCTTTATGGAAGGTTTTTCTTTAAAACTGGCTACTGCTGTAGGAGCAGATGCTCCAGTCAGCAGTGGGACTGGGACAAGTCTGCAAGCAGTCAGCAATCTGCTTTCACTAGGTTGGGGTTTGAGCTGAGGCACAATCCTGCTGAGCTCACCTCCCCATAAGCTACCATTCTCTCCCTTGCCCCATTCTCCTTTCTCTCCTTTCTCGACTTCTGCTCTGAAAACTTCCCTCTAGCTCTGGAGCAGAGGCAGCAGCTTCCCTGAGGGGAGCTGGGGCTGACTTGGGTCTTGCTCTAGGCTAGTAGCTTGTGACTGTGAGGACCTAGCTGCTAGGGGACACCAGAACCCTCCTATAGTGTGGAATGCAAGGAATCAGTAATCTTATTTGCTTACTTGACACTGTAGGCCCAATGCCTAGTTTAGTGTGTAAGACCTAAGAGATGCTTAGAAATACCTACTGAACAAATAAATGGATGAATGAATGAATAACCTGTGGACCCCAATCTAATTCATTTGCTTAGTTCATCAGTGTCCTTGATAGTTGTGGATCAGTGTAATGAAATTAATTTTTGTAATAAGATTGAAGTGGGAGAGCTAGGTTCTTGTCTCACGGAGTTGAAGAATGAATCTCACAAAGGAGAGTGAATAAAGTGATAGTTTTTTTTAAGCAAGGATACAGGAAAAAAAGCTTTCAGGAGTGAGAGGGGTCCCGACAGCGTTGCCACTGAGGGCTTTTAGGGTTGGTCTTTTATAAAAAGCTTACCATAGGAACTAAATCTTTTTGACTTCTCTATTGACAGCACCATGGATTAAGGACTAGTGATAACATCTTTAATGGCTTACTTCTTTCAAGGGTCTGGTTATTTTCTGTTGACCACAGGAGACTGTCATAAATAAGACTTCCTAGGGCAGGGTGGTCTGGGGTGTTCCCTTATCTCTGGTTTCCTTACACCTCTACATTTTTGGGATTTCCGTGAGTCTGATCCCAGAGCCCCTTATCTATCTCTCCTTACCTAGCCCCGCCTGTCCCTTACTCAAGTTCATGTCTCTGAAGAGTCTTGGCATGCTTGTTGGGTTTTTGTTTGTTTTTTAACCCAGTTTTACATGCCACCTTCATCATTTCTTTGCATTTGTTTCCAGCTGAAATGTTCAGCCCTCCTCCTCTTCCAACTAAAAATGTCTTACCCATCCTTTACTGACCATCTCAATGGCTAAGCCTCCACCACCCTTCTCTGAAGACTCTGGTTAAAAGTGATCGGTCTCTCCCAAAAATGCCAACAGCACTGTGGTGGTAACTGTGTACAGTGTATAGTAAGTGCATTGTACAAACTGCTTCCATATCCTTCTCCCCCTTCCCCTTTTGTTCATTTTATCCTTGCAACTTGCCTGAGTCAGAATGTTAGACAAATGGTCTTCCCCTTCCACAGATAAGGAGATTTGGAGAGGTAAATGGGCTTTTCAGGGACACAAGCCTTGAAAATGATAGAACACACAGTAAAACTCACGTCTCTTAGAATAGATATAAAGGGCAAAAGAGCTGCCAAGTTGGCTCAGCAGTTGGAAAACACTTCACTGGCTTCATTTGTTGGTTAATGTTTGCTCCAAAAGGCTTTATTAAAAAAAATAATAATAAAATGGGTCTTAGGTTGCCTGGTAGGCTCAGTCCTTAAGCGTGCCTTCAGCTCAGGTCATGATCCCAGGGGTCCTGGGATCGAGCCCTGCATCGGCTCCCTGCTTGGTGGGAAGCCCGCTTCTTCCTCTCTCATTCCCCTTGCTTGTGCTCTGTCTTTTGCTGTGTCTCTGTCAAATAAGTAAATAAAATCTTAAATAAAATAAAATAAAATAAAATGGGTCTTTCTACATCCAAGTCAGCAGAAAACCATTTGTGGGAAGAGGTTTATTTACTTCCTTGTAAGTTTCTTCTTTGTAATTTCCTCTTAAGTATAGCCATTCATGTGGAGAGAAGGGGTAGAATAAGCAAATTGCCACTTCTGTTGCTTTCATGGGTGGGAGATTGCGGCCTTAAAGAGATGTATGATCAGTAGCTGGGGTGGAAAGAATGGTCTGGTGTGGGTCAGGGACCTTCAGGAACTGCAGTTGGAGTCTCTGGGTCTCCCCTTGATAGCCATTTGACGAGACCAAAATCCGCCCATAGGGCTCAAATCCCGGCCCTTGGTTCGGAAGAGGGCTGGGGAGGAGCCAGGCTCCACCGCACGATGCCCAGGAGACCCACTGTTGGCTTTGGGCCTGCGAATCTAAAACAGACAAACAGAAAACCCTACACGTGCCAGGGGCCTCAGCTCTGAGTCTGACCCTGGCTTCGCGGGGACAAAGCGGCCCGAGCCTGGGCGAGAACGAGATCTCCTGGAGATCTGCCCTCCCCCCGCGAGGCAGGGGCGGCGCCAGCTAAGCCCGCGAGTGAACCGCCCTAACTAGTTTGTCCCTGCGGCCGTCTCGTAGGCGACGCCGCGGCGCACCGAGGCTCCCGCGTCGCATTGCCATGGCTGCCCGTGGTGGCGTCGCCGCTGCCGGCGAGGGTCTGCGCTACGCCGAGTACTCGCCGCCGCCGACCACACGGCCGGACGCGGACGTGGACCAGGGACTGGTGAGTCCCGCCGGCTGCACCCGTCCCTCTGCGGGCCGGCCTGCTAGGACCCCCGCCTTCCCGTAGCCGGACGCTCTCACCCCTCGAACCGTGGTAGTCCTGGTAGTCACATGTTTGTCCCAGCTCCCCCGGCGTCCCGCGGAGTCGTGCTCCGCGCCAGGCGTTGACGAGTGGGCGTGTGCAGAGTCTCTGTTCCCTCCAGGAGCTAAAGTCTTGTCGGGGAGACGGGCCGGGAGACCGGCAGTTGCAGCTCCTGTGTGATAAGTACTACAGGGGGGGTTCTCAGAGGAGGAGACCCCGGTCCGCTCTTGCAGGGTAGGGAGTGAGGTCAGGGGAGGCTTCTTGGAGAAAGGGATGATTAAAAACGGAACTCTGGAGAAGGAGTGGCAGTGACCTCAGCGAAAGGAAGAGGAAGAAGTGTTTCAGGCACCAGTAGTAGTAGTTACAAAGTCGTAGGCCGGAGGAACAGGGCCCGGTTGGAAATCGCAGGTGGTTTATTCGGGCTGAAATGCAGCGTTGGGAGAAGTTAAGTGTTCAATAGAAACATAATGCGAACCTCACATATGTCTTTAAGTTTTCTGTAGCGATAGTTAAAATGTGAAAAACAGGTGAATTTAATTTTAAGTGCATTTTTATTTAACCCAGTGCATCCACAATAATATTTTGACATGTAATTAGTATAAAATTACTGAGATATTTTACATCGTTTTTTTTTTCCCCTTTTTTATACCAAATCTTTCAAATCCAGTGCGTGTTTTACACTAACAGATCAGCTCACTTGGGACTAGCCACATTTCAGGTGCTCAGCCACATGTAGCTAGTGGCTACATTATTAATCATTGCAGTTCCCAAAGATTAATGGGGACTAGAACATATGAAGCATCTGGTAAAGCACCTGAAGGAGTTGGGATATCCTGAGGGCAGTGGTACCATTTTGATGAGTTTTAAGCTGAGAAGTGACAGATTGGGCTGTTACCAAGCTCTCTCGGGCTTTGTGTAAGAGGAATGAATTAGTTGGAGAAAGTCTAGAAATGTGGCTAATTCTTTTTCACGCGGCATTCCATGCTTTGCCAGCCGACAGGGATACATACTTTGTCTTTAGATGCATAGCACTTAGTGTCCATACCAATTGTTGACTACTCATACACTGTATTGTGACATCTGTTATGTTGACCTGTCATTTTCCAGCATTTTTCTAAGTTTCCTAAGAGCGGGGACTGAGGATTTACGTCTAGTAAGCACCCAGTTTATGAGCACTCAATTATCATTACTTGATTAACAGATAAATTTCTGCAACAGTCAGATGGGCTTGCCTGGGAAGGTTTCAGAAAGCAGTATGCTTTCATTCAACAGACATTTCTTGAATACTGCTAGGTGCCAGGTATTATCCTAAGACCTTGGAATAGATAAGTAAACAAAACAGATAAAAGTCTGAAGTAGCAAGCTCTGAGCCCCTGCTTGTCTGATTCATTCCTTACCACAACCCTGTGAGGCAAGTCCTTTTTAATTCTCATTTAAGAAATGAGGAAACTCAGGGGTGCCTGGGTGGCTCAGTCGGTTAACCATCTGCCTTTGGCTCAGGTCATGATCCCAGGGTCCTGCTCAGGTCATGATTCCAGGGCCTACTTCTCCCTCTCCTCCCCACTTGTGCTCTCTGTTGCTATCTCTGTCTCAAATAAATAAATAAAATCTTAAAAAAAGAAATGAGACTCAAAGTGGTAAATAATTTACTCAGGATCACTCTCCTAATAAAGTGACAGACCTAGGATTCCAAATCCTATATACCCTTTCCACTGTGACTTGCTCACTTCTTAGAAAAATGGCTTTCTGAGTGGAGTGTTCAGTCTGTGATGTAGAATGGATAAATTATTAGGTTAGGTAGAAGGAATCTCTTTATGGAGAGTTGTAAAAATCTCCATACTGGACTGATTTGCAAGGCAGTTGGGAGCTCTGTGGTATTTTGAAGATAAAAGTAATATTGGTAATCTTTTACATCTGTAGGTACTTCATTTGGAAGAAGATATGTGTAGAATTTTTTTTTTTTAAAGATTTTATTTATTTATTTGAGAGAGAGCACATGAGAGGGGGGAGGGTCAGAGGGAGAAGCAGACTCCCCGCCGAGCAGGGAGCCCAATGCGGGACTCGATCCCGGGACTCCAGGATCATGACCTGAGCCGAAGGCAGTCGCTTAACCAACTGAGCCACCCAGGCGCCCGATATGTGTAGAATTTAAGATATCAGTTAGGAGACATCTTTAGTAGTCCAGTCACATGAAGGCTAAGGTGTAGGCCAGTGATTCTAAAGTGATTCCTGCCCAGCCTAGTACCTCCTTTTTATAACAAATATTCTGTAAAGTCTCCTGTAATATCCTAAAATGGTATTCATAGGCAATGAAATCTATTCATAAAAATAACTTAAAAATCAATGTAATGGTCTAATTGAAACATAAAGGTAAAGTATTTTATTAGAAAATAACATGTTTACTATTTAAGTATGTACATGTTCGGACATGATTACATTGGAAGACATAATGAAGTAATCAGTTGCTGGCATATTGCACCAGTGCAAAGAATCCCTATGAGTGTAACAGCTATAAATGCAGACCTATTTCAAATGTATTATACTGGCATTTCAGATACTGTAAGGGCCATTGTCATTGACAAACTGATTTTTCCCAAACTGCTAACAATTTTTAGTAAAATTTTGAATAAAACAAAATGGAGTCTTCCCTCAATTTATATAAGATTTGCGCTTCTGAAAAATTCAGTCTTTAAAACAGTGTGCAAATGATACATTTTATATATACTGTATTATATAAAGTTCTAGACTAAGAGGATCGCAGATAGGCTTTTTACGTACTTTAATGTCCAGTAGAATCTGTTAAAACTCTGAGGGATGCAGGTAGTACTTTGTTGTACAAGGTTGTTTCATACCTTTTAGGATGTATAGTCCCCCATCCACCAAATACTTTCCCTCCTATCCAAATTATTACTGCAACCAAAAGGTCCTCACAAATTTTCAAAATGTCCCTAAGGGCCTATTCTGCTTCTGTTGGAATCATTGGTCCAGGTAGTGCTGAGTTAGAAGATAAGAGAACTGATAATAATAATTTTGGGGGAGCTTGGAAGTACTGAAAATGATGGAAAGCTGACAAAGGGTAAGTGTTAGGAAAAAATAAATGACCCAGGAGTGGGACATATTGGCAATCTTACTGAAAATAGTAGAAAATAAAATGTCAAGAACTTGAAGAAAAGACTTTTCTCATCATTTTTTTAAAAGATGCAGTTTATTTTGAAGTTTTTGAAATATAGCATCTGCAGTTGTAGATGTTAAATAACTCTTTCTCAGGTAAACTTCCCCTTAGGGACTAAAAATTCATGTGCATTAACCAGTTTAGGAGATTAAAAAGATAAAAATGTAGGTCAAAATGCTTGGATAGTACCTTGAATAAAATAGTATCTTACAATTAGTTGTGTCATAGTCAGAGGTCATGGTCATATTTTGCTTTAGCAAATCTGATTCTCATGGAAAAGTAGAGAAGAAACTTTAATGTTAGGAAGAGAATATTATCAAATTTTAAAGCATTTTGAAAAAAACCCAGTTTGTATGAAATGATAGCCTTTAGTTTTCAGTACTTGCCCAAAAAGTGTAACTCCTAGTGTTAGTAGGATAGTGTGACATATAAGAAAATTAGTTACATATACATTTCAGTTATAGGCCAACTTGATAACATGAAAACTAAAACCTATCAAACATGTAAATTATTAGGTACTTATTTATTACCAAAACAAAAGAAAGCACTTCTACTATTTTTCATTTAAAATGTTTACCTTGAAGCTTCCTTTGAAGAAATCACATGGATTACAGATTGTATATCTTTTTTTTTTCTTTTTTTTTTGAGAGCCACAGCAAACACGAGCTAGGGGGAAGAGGGGCAGGGGAGAGAATCTTAAGCAGGCCTCACAGCCAAGGTGGGGCCATCTCATGGACCTGGAATCATGACCAGCCAAAATAGAGTTGGATGCTCAACTGACTGAGCCACCCGGGTGCCCCTGGGCAAGAACTTTTATATGCTTCTGTGATTGGCACTGTATTTGACACATGGGAGTCACTTAATTGTTCATTAAATGAACAGCTATTAACTTCTGTTACTATTGAGTGACTTAAACATGACTGTTTGATTCTAACATATTGATGAGGTATTTTTTTCTGTAGGATTTCTCCTTTAGGTTAGCCTCTAAAGGAGAACGAGAGTCTGTGTCTTTCTTACTCATTATTCTTTCCCCAGAACTGGCACAAGGCCTGGTGCATGCTGAATAAATATTTGTATATGTATATGGTAAATGCTAAATAAATTATTTGTGGTGTGAGTGAATAGTCTCCATCTTTCCTCCATCACAACTATCTTTTTGAGGCAGAATAATTTTTTTCCTTCTTAATTTCCAACTGGTACAACTATTATCTATCTTGAACTTAAATATTACAGTCTTGAGATAGAAGTTTTGGCATTTTTATAATGCTTTCAGCCAATTTATATTTATCGAGAAGGTTATTTACTGCTTATTTACTGTTTTGGAAGAATAAAATGCCTTAGGGTATTTGTAAACAACTTTGATACCCTGCTCCACCAAGCAGTAGCAGCTGTGATGGAGTGGGCTGTTTTCCCAGTTTTCAGAAATTCCTTGATTTGTAGTAGTGGAACATTTAATTTTTCTCGTTTGTTTGTTTCTGGTGGATATTTTTTTTTAAAGATTTTATTTTCTTATTTGTAGAGAGGGAGAGAGATAAGAGAGTGTACAAGGGGTGGGGAGGAACAGAGGGAGTGGGAGAAGCAGACTCCCCACTGAGCAGGGAGCCCAATGCAGGGCTCGATCCCAAGACCCTGGGATCATGACCTGAGCCAAAGGCAGCTGCTTAACCGACGGAGCCACCCAGGGGCCATGTTTTTTTCTGGTGGGTATTTGAAACTAGGTGGCAGTAACAGATACCATACTTGGCCC